AAACAGTTCCTGTTGGGAGAAGGGGGCATCGAACAGATCTCTTTCTTGAGGAAGTAACCTCCCCTGAATTCTCTCCCAAAACCTTGAAGCCATCGACAGGTCCGTATCCACAGTATCCCACCTCCTCCGGGAAGAAACTATGTCTTGGTGGGGAGCTTCACCTACTGGATTTTGCCAACGCCTTGGACGTGGGGCCAAGTCCCACTAGCAGCGTTGAGTTCCCTCAAAGCCTGAATCTGGACGCTTTTGTGGAGATGTGCAGAAACGGTTTTGACTTTCCTGAACTGAAAGTGGGACTTGGCCCCTGGCCGTGGTGGCAGTGGCTGTTGCATTTTTGGGCCATGATTTTTTTGACAGGCACAAAACCTTCTTCGCCTGATTTTTCGGCGTTTTTTTAACCTTTTCCCTTATTCAGCGACATGCAATCAATGGCCATTAAAAATTGCAGGTTTTGGTCGAAGAAGAGATGGCAGAAAAAAATCGAGAGACTGGAATTTTGTGGTCATTCCACGGACTCCGAGCACATGATATCCACTAGGCCAAGTCAATCTGCACCACTTGGTTAACTGGCTGTGTGCGCAGAAAGGCTGGCCCGGCCACTGGTGGCTTATACGTGCGGGACATGCTGATCCCCACTCCCTGATTTGCTCAGGCAGGCATTCACCTTGCCCCTGCAGGAGCTGGAGTATGGTTCCACTACTGTCTTCCCCTGAATAGAACGTAGGGTCATTCTAGCTGTATTTCGGGCTACTTTCAGTCTAGATACAGGGACAAGGACTGTTCCTTCTATTTGGGGGAAGACTGTGGTGGCCGTATAGCATCAGAGCAGGGCATAGGTTGTGGTGTCAATAATCTGTTTCTGCTGGGTTTTTTTTTTTGTTTCATGTGCGTGTGTGTGTGTGTGTGTGTGTGTGTGTGTGTGTGTGTTTCTGCTGTTTTTTTGTTTTTTGTTTTTTTTTAAATAAAAAACTAACTTTAACTAAGCGATATTAATTTTCACTCCCGGGCCTACCTACCACTACTACTAAGCCTATACAGGGGATCCCTGCAAGCATAGCAACCTCTCACAATTAAGGGGATACCTGTTGCCCCCCCGCCCTAATCTGGGGTGGTCAGTGGTATGCAGAGGGGGGGGGGGATTAAATATCAGAAGGTAGGATGCTTGCATGTTAATGTCAATCTGGTGGTCGTGATGGACTGAAGAGGCGTTTGTATTTCTTCATTTTGATGGCATTGGTACCCTTATCTTCATCATTAGATTATCAATAGGATCAGGGGCACTATCAGCTATGTCCAGGTAGACGTTCGGAACTCGGGACGAGTTCCCAGCATCTGATGTTTTTTTCAACTTATCAATGTATTTCAAGGGACGCTGGACCCGCTTTCCAGCACGTGCAGCTCC